TATCTATCTATCTATCTATCTATCTATCTATCTATCTATCTATCTATCTATCTATCTATCTATCTGTACAGTGGGCATCACTCACGTGTGACAGAGCGCCCATGACCTTGATCTTGGTGAGCATAGACTTTGGGATACTGGAGCCCTCAGCGCCCTCTGGGTCCTCGGTGGCGGAAGATGGGTTGTTGCCCATGGTGATCGGTGCAGTAGGCCTACCTTGAAACTCTGGGGGCGGACGCAGGAGAGAGAAACAGAGAGTCACACAAACGAAGTATATAGGCCTGTATAAACAGAAATACAGACACACACACACACACACACACACACACACACACACACACACACACACAATTTAGCAACATTCAAGTAAATATCTAATATTTTTCAATGCTGTAAAAAGTTTTTAGATCTAGATCTAGTTCCTCGGGGGACTGCTCGATTTTGGTGCAGTACTTAAAGCTTTTACCAAACCAAAAAACTATAAGTTAATTTGTTATCATGCGTTTGACTGCTTCATGACTGTGTATGTAAAGAAATGAACCAGAGAAAATGGTGTTGGGGTTTGGAGGGTGAGGAATTTAAAGATAAAAATTTGCTTTAGGATATTTTATAATTCGGGCGTTCCAAAAGGACATGGAGTTTTTCTTTAGCAACATCATTAGCGTGAAAATACTTGGTGAGCATAGACTTTAGGGGATACATTTTTAGAGAACTCTGGAGAAGAAACGCTACTCTCCTAAGACTTCACATTTATAAAAAGGGTTCTCATGTTCATGCAAGATAGATGGGTAAATGAATAATTCGCCCCCACCCTTTAAAAAAAAGTAAAATATTATGGAAGGGTCTTTCTTGAAAGAGACTGAGACCTATGGCATGTGTATCTAGTAAGATCCGAAGGGAGGGCTAATGTTTACTTTCAGTTTCTAGCATATTAGCACGTCAGTAGCGGTGCTGTTCTTATGTCATTGACATCTCATACTTAAACTATTAATTAATTTATAAACAGTAAAAACAACAACAACAATAATAATAATGACAAT